CGCGGGACGGGGGGGGGGACGGGGGGGGGGGGGGGGGGGAGAATACACTTTGCTTACACGGTTGTCCTTAGAAGCAAGAGGATTCTGGCCTTAGATTATGTCTGTTGGCTGCACTGTAACAGTCACCTCTTTCTCAGCTTGTGTCTTTTGCCCTTTTGCTGTGCTTGCTTCAAGTTGATGCTGGCAGCTGCTTTTGCTCCCCGATTTCGTCACTGTGCAGGGTTGCCTTCATCCCAAGCCAACTAAATCATCTGCCTTTAAGTGCAGCTTCCCAGTGCTGGGATTTGGAACTCCCTGTGAGGCTACGCCAACACATTCAGTGCAGAGCTAGGCAGCTTCTCGGTCTGAGTCTGTACGGCCGCCATTCTGAAACACACGCACACCCCCCCGGTGTTTTGGTTTTTTGACGACCTGACCCAAAAAGCCATTAATTCTGCTTAGCTTTTCTGCTTTGACTTTACAGAGGATTCCAGCACTGAAGGTATTGGCCAGAGACAGCTTTTGTGGCTGCTCTCCCGCTGAAATTTGCAGAATGGAGAAGATCATTCTGGATAAATTGAACTGGGATCTTCACACAGCCACTCCGCTGGATTTCCTCTATATTGTAAATATATTTGACAGATTTCTCATCTCTCTAGTGCTTGTTGTGGGGGAGGCAGTAGGGAAAGGAGAAAAGGGTGCTTCCTTTGGGGTGGGCACTCCACCCGGGAGGTTGGATATCATGACTGGATAAGGGAGTACAGTGGTGCCTCGCATAGCGACGTTAATCCGTGCAGCAAAAATCACTGCTAAGCGATTTCGTCGCTATGCGATTTTAAAAAGCCCATAGAAACGCATTAAAACCTATTTAATGCGTTCCTATGGGCAAGATCCTTCATACGGCGGCTATTTTTGCTGCCTCTTAAGCGAGGAATCAGCGCAAAACCACAGCGGGCGGCCTTTTTTTAACCCGGCAGCCATTTTGGAACCGCCAATCAGCTGTTAAAAATCATCGCTTTGTGATGATCGGTAAGCGAAACGGGACCGATCATCGCAAAGCGAAAAAACTGCATAGGAAACATCGCAATGCGATTGCTTTTGCGATCGCAAAAAGTTTGTCGCTATGCGGTTTCGTCGCTAAACAGAGTGCCCGTTAAGCGAGGCACCACTGTATTCAATATGTATGTTCAAACTTACTTATACCCAATCCTAGAGGTTCAGGTGGTTTCAGTGAAACTTGTTGTGTATTTTACTTAAAACTTCGTTACATCAGTATTATAATCCTTGTGTCATACAGTGGGACACTTGTATTCGTGGGTCAGTTTCAGCCACCTCAACTGCAGATGCTGGAAAATGTGGATTATAGCGAACATTGTTTTAATAGCAAACACAATACATAGGGTGGTCTTGGGCTCCCTCTATTGGCCAGTTCTGGTAACTTCATTCTTAGAAATATGTATTTCTAGGATTCCTCTTTTCATATTTTCAGATGTGGATAACTGAATCAGTGGATTCAGTTTCACACTGATGCTTTGCATGTGGAATAATTGATATTCAGGAGAGAATACAATATCCTAAGAATCTCTGCTGTTAGAAAGCAGTAGTGCTTGAGGGGACTGTAAATTGTCCTCACTATTAGTTGCTCTAGGTCAGTGGTTCTTAACCTTTGTTACTCGGATGCTTTTGAACTGCAACTCCCAGAAACCCCAGTCAGGACAGCTGGTAGTGAAGGCTTCTGGGAGTTGCAGTCCAAAACTCCTGAGTAACCCAAGGTTAAGAACCAGTACTCTAGGTCTTATGAAGGCAGGTATGAAAAGATCTGGAATGTGTTTGGTGAAATGATCAGAAGGTAGGAGAGAGAGGAGGATTTGTTTTCTTATAACAAACTGGATTCTGCAAAGTTGTTCTGTTGGCGTGATGTAGAAAAGTGGCAGAACCCATATTCTTTATATAGCTTCTCAACTGGCATAAAATTAGAAGCTAGAAAAATCACTTTTTTGATTCTAGCGCACTTTCCCCATAAACTTAAAAATAGTTTCAGCTTCACTGTTAAGTGTTAACTCTTGTGGCTTCTAACCCAAGGGCTCTTGAGAATTGTTTCCTGAGTAGGTAGGGGATTAGGAATCTCTAGTCAACAATTGCCGATGATTTCCTAACCTGCTTTGCTGAAACTGGTTTAGAAGTATAGTTTAGAAGTTTCCTCCAGGAAACAGTTTGTTAATCCACCATCTAAAGAACATTCTTCTGTGGAATCCACCGTTGGGCAGTACCTTGATGAGAACCAACTCACCAAACCACATTTTTAACACACTCCAGAACTGTTAATCAAGCTAGATGCTAAAAAAATTGGGAGGGGAGAGGTAAAGTCCCAGCTATTTGTCTGGATATTTTAAGCCGTGGAGATCGACAGTTGAGTTCCCACCCTAAATTATGACCCTGCTAAGATGGAAAATAGGGCCTTGATGAGTTGATGAGTCGTGCAACTATTCCATGAACTCCGGCTAATCCAGTTGTATTTTTTGACATCTGTGCCTTCGCCCACATCCCCGTTCTTCATCGTCTAACTTAAGGAAGATTTCTGGAGAAGTCAAAAGCTCCTATGTTGTGCAAAGGTATTGTTGAGCCCCAACGAAGGTGTCATCTGTGGGTTTTGTTGTACTCCCACCGATCAACAAAACCTCTTTTCTTTCGTGAGATGCTCAATGTTCTCTTTCTCCCCCCCCCAAACCAGTTCCATGCAGTTGCCTTGTCCACCAGGCCTCAACTGCTGACTACCTTGCCCAAGATGAACCCATCTCAGCACGTGGCTCTGCTCACCAAGCAGCTGCTCCACTGCCTCGCCTGCTACCAGCTCCTCCAGTTCAAGGGCTCCATGCTGGCGTTGGCCATCGTCAGCTTGGAGGTGGAGAAACTTATCCCTGATTGGCTCGCCCTCATCATTGAACTGCTCCAGAAGGCACAGGTAAGATCTCAGAAGATGCATTGAAAGGGATGTGCTGCTCCATCTTGAACTAAGCAGACACAGCAGCTTTTTACATGGGGCAGGGGGAATGCTATGGTAGGAGAGAATAAATTGCTTGGTCTGCGAATGAGAGAACCAGTACTTTTTTTGGTTGGGATTTGTGATCTCCTGCTATCCTGTGATGTAGAACTTGTATTTCACCAAGGGATCCTGTGTGTTAAGTCCAAAACCTCTTTTCCAAGGCCTGGTTGCGGGTACATCATGCCTATAGACTTGTGCTTTGGTGGGGCGGGGTTTTTTTTATTCTCCATCCTGGGAATTCAGTCTGGCCAGCAAAATACAGTGGTGCCTCACATAGCAACAATAATCGGTGCAGCAAAAATTGCTGCAAATCGATTTCGTCGCTATGCAGTTTTTAAAAGCCCATAGGAATGCATTGAAACCCCTTCAATGCGTTCCTATATGGGCTTAAAACTCACCTTAAAGCGAAAATCCTCCATACGGCCGCCATTTTTGCTGCCTGGTAAGCAAGGAATCGGCACGAAAACATAGTGGGCGGCCATTTTGTTTACCCGGCTGCCATTTTGGAACCGCCGATCAGCTGTTAAAAAATCATCGCTTTGTGATGATCGGTAAGCAAAACAGGGTACCGATCATCGCAAAGCGATTTTTCCCCATAGGGAACATTGCAATGCGATTGCAAAAGCGATAGCAAAATGTTCGTCACTATGTGGTTTCGTCATTAAACAGGGTGCCCATTAAGCGAGGCACCACTGTACCTAAATTGCACTCCCCTGGAAAGAGGTTGGGCTAGAAGGTTTCATGGGTAGGAAAGGATAAGCCTCGATCGAGTTGCCTGCTAGAAAAGGAAGTGGCCCTGGTGTTTTCTGTTTATGTTAAAATTGAAGCACCGGGTAAGAAGACTGAGAGCCAACAGGATGGTGCTTCTCTGGATAGTGTTGCTTCTTGCAAAGAAACCAGGAGGTGAGGATCCCCTTACAACCTAGAAATCCTCTGAAGGGTAGAAAGCCCACTGGAACCTGATTTGGGCAACATGGAGGACTACAGGAGTGAGGGGAATACAGTGATGCCTTGCAAGACGAAAATTCATTCTGCAAGTTGTTTTGTATTGCAAAATTTTTGTCTTGCGAAGCGCGGTTTCCCATAGGAGTGCACTGAAATTTAATGTGTTCCTATTCGCCTTGCGAAGCACGACCATAGAAAAATTTGTCTTGCGAGTCACTAAAAAATATATACCGCAAAATGGTTTCGTCCTGCGGGTTTTTCATTGCGCAAGGCATTCGTCTTGTGAGGCATCACTGGATGAGCATTAAATAATTCAACGTGTAACATACCTGTCTGTCTATATTAGGGTGTGGTGGATGCTCCCAGTCCAGGTCTAAAAATAAAATAGGAAGCATCTTGTCTCCTTCTGCAAAAGCAGTGCTTGGAGGGGGGCTTTTCCGCTGATGAGAATCTGTAGCGGGCAACTTGACAGCACTCTGATCCGTTCTTTTTTCCTCCTCCCCCCCATTCCAGATGGACAGCTCCCAGCTGATCCACTGCCGGGAACTCACGGCACGCCACCTTTCCACGCTGCAGCCTTCTTGGCTGTCCAACTCCGTCTACGTCTACAGTCCCCTCAAGCACAACCTGGTGTCCTGTCACACGGGGACCTTCCGCTCCCATCCCTCCTCGGTCCCAGGCCCGGACTCGAAGGACCGCTTCAAACCAGAAGTGCCAACCGAAGGCGGCGCCCCTGCGCTCTGCCGGCGGCGGGCGGCTCCCAGCCGGTGTAAACAAGCCACGGCGAAACGCAAAGTGGAGGAGATGGAGGTGGACGACTTCTACGACGGGATCAAGCGCCTGTACAACGAGGAGAATGCGCCGGAAGGGGTGGTGGCCCTTGAAGGCAAAGCCATTTCCGCCTGCAGCACCGATGTCTCGCGGCAAGGAGGAAGCATTTCTGCCTGCCCTCCCTTGCAGCCCGTTTCTGTCATGTAGCTGTATACCAACGCAGCGCTAAATGCAGCAAGCTGCTACGTTGTGTATACACACACACAACACCGGGCAACAATTGGGCTTCTTTTGGCTGGCGGAGCGAAGGCTGTACCTGACAGGGCTTGGGGGAAGGAGTTGCGTTATCCTTTTAAAAGAATCCCCCTTCTCACTTTCTTCATGCGGCTAATTATAGTTCCACTATGATCTAAATACTTAAAAACAAACAAAAAAAAGTATAAAAAAACTTTTCTAAAAAGTCCCAAAAACCAACCAAAAAAAAAAAGAGTAGCAAAAATCGTTTTTTTCTAGTGTTCTGTTTCACTGTTTCTGTCTGCTTGTTGTGTTGTAACCCTATCTGCAGTGTTGGAGAGACTTCACACTGAGAAATTTTCAAATTTCTAGCAATCTGTCACTCTGAATTTGCTTTACTCTGAGAACTCCCTCGACGGATTCTTCCAATTTTTCTTTTACAAAAGGTTTCCGAACTCCCTACTGCATGTCTTTCTTGGCACTTTGTGTATAGGAGCCCCACGTTGTCTTTCTGTTGTGTTCTGTCTTTTAGCACTTTGGTATTTGAAATGTGATTTATCTTGAAACTAGATTTGCATTTAAAATGAGTGAGTTTTTAAAAAAAAGATCTTTGCAAACCGTCCTGCACTTAAAAAAAAATGACCAGAGCAAATGAACGCCTGACAGCTTATTAGAAGTATTTTTGTTTTGTTTTAGGTAGTTAATCAGCAACCAAACAAAATAAGATTTAAAAAATAATAATTACACTCAAGTGGAAGAAATCTTTGTGACTGCCATTAGACTGATCAAACCACAATGACACTTTGTTGAATGGGTTTTTAAACACACACGGACTCACACACAAACTTTAATGCACACGTAGATTGAAACAAAACCAAAATTTAGCTGATATTGTTGGTGTTTGTGTCTGTCCTGGGGCACTTTTGTCGTCTTGAGTTTCTCCTTTGTGTAAAATGATTAGTACAAGTTCTTCCCAAGCAACCCCCTTTTACTTTTTGTGTAACTTTTTAATCGGAAGCAGAGGTAGGCAAGACCTTCAAAACCCCTTGTCCTTTCGTGCTCAGCGCTGTGCTTCTCAAAAAATAACTCCTCCTTGATTTTAAAGCTCTCTTTTCACAGCCCTTTGGAAGGTACTGTGTTCAGCAGTCGTACTGAGGAAAGCCTTCTGGTAGCAATAAAAAAACAGAACATGTTGTCCTTCAGTTTGTGAGTCTTGTATTCACTTCCGATTCTTGGGAGAGGGGTCAAGGGAGGGGTTGAACAGATCAGAGGACGGCTTCATTCTGCACGTGCTTTCTCGCCTGTGTTCAATGCCTTCCTTATCAAACCTGATAATTTAGACAATGGTACTATTCCACGGCATTCCGTGTCTAGTCGCGCTGGCAGGGGGGGTCATGGGAGGGGTCGAACAGATCAGAGGACCACTTCCTTCTGCACCTGCTTTCTCGCCTGTATTCAGTGCCTTCCTTCTCTTATCAAACCTGATAATTTAGACAATTGTACTATTCCACGGCGTTCCATGTCTAGTTGCGCTGGCCACGTGACCACAGAAACTGTCTTTGGACAAACGCTGGCTCTATGGCTTGGAGACGGAGATGAGCACCGCGCCCTAGAGTCGAACACAACTGGACTCAATGTCAAGGGGAATTTTTACCTTACTATTCCACCATGTTCTTTACTACCTGGGCCTAAGGATCCTATTAAGTATTGCCTTTAGTTTCTTACCACTTCTGAACAGATAACTCCACCTTGTAAGCCGTCAGACTGTGAGGCTGTCTGGCCCAAGGACTCCTGAAGGTCACCACAAGTCAAGTTCTCCCGGGTTGTCTCACCATCGGGAACAATATAATTAATTACTAAGAAACACTGTGATCTTCTGAATGGCATTGAATCTGGGATCTTGTACATGACTGATAAGCTGGAGGCCCTGCCTGTGACCAGATGTTGCAGGAGCCAAAGAAGTGCCATGTCTTCTGTTTTAGACCTCCCCAAAGTAAGGTGCGGTGGATAGAATGACAGACGAGGACTCTAAAGAACAGGGTTCAAATCTCCATTTGGCCACGGAAGCTCACTGGGGGAGTGGAGCTTTTGAAACCACACAAATGTACGTGTTCTTTTTTTCAACAGGTTGCTTTCTTCTTCCCACTCCATAGAATATTTTTAACTTGGAAATTATTCAGAATTTCTACTCATAGAGGATCAGGTGGATGATTGTAATCCTATACACAATTACCTGGGAAGTAAGTACAGGACGTGGTAGGAGTTAATGACAAAAACTATTCTATACCTGTTCAGAGACAAGTTTTCTAGGTTTTCTTGTCCTAGAAGGGGAGGAACACTTGAACATAATTAACACTAATGTCATGATGGCGGCCTCTGGCTCCCCCTTGTGGTCCCAGTTCACCCTTACTCTAGAAAATGTTTCAGATGGAGAACAAAAAAAGGCAAGCAGAGAGGGGGGGAAAACAGCCTTTTACCTTCCGAATGCAAGAGTGGACAAATGAATGTCCTTGCAGATTCCACTCGCCTTTGGTAGCTTTGGAGGTGGGACTTGAAAGCTAAAAATATTTGGAAGCAGACCCAGCCTGCTTGTTCTATTTTTAGACTGTTGTAGTCTTCACCAAAGCTGTACATGACCAGTAGTTTTATCATGAGGCAAGTTCCCAAGGAACATAATTGAAAAATAATAATGAACTGCTTCGTATTAAGAAGAATCTGTACAGATAAGAGACAAATCAACTGTGAGATCTGTTCTACAGGATGATCTGAAAAGGGCTTCCAAATGCAATCTTTGTGTCCACTTACTGGCTTAAAGGGATGTTGGTCTGATCTATCCAGGCTTAAGTCGGGAGGAGGAACTGGGGCTCACATAAAGTTCCCAACCACCACCACTTTTGAGGGCCTGAAACATGCAAATGATAGCTGATACGGGCTGTGAAGGAGAGAGACGGTGCAGATTAAAAGGGAGGCAGCTGAGCTTGGTTGGAATGGCATGGCCGGAGAGATGCAAAGGACCTGAACGGGCACAGAATACGTAGCAATGTGTGGAATGATGAAGCTGGAATGCCACGTTTAGCTGCCCATACAAGTTCACATGTTCATGCACCGTATTAACTTAGAAAAGACACCGAACCTGCTTTGCAAGACTATCTGCACCATTCAGGATCCCTCCTCCAACCTGTTGCAGGAAATTTAGCTTTTTTTTCAAAATCAAGTTCTCCAGGGCTGTAATAAGTGCAGAACAAGCCAATAACCGTACTGGCATGTCAGGAACATGACCTCGTGGTATAATCTCTGGCTCACTTTCTTGTGGGCTTCTCTTCCTTATTTGTGTCGGAAGCACCACCATGCAATTAATAAATTGATCCAGTAATTTTCGCCAAACTTTAGGAGCTGCTGGGGCAGCTAATATCAAGTCTTCTGTGGTCCACATGGAGGGGCGCACTGACGTAGACATGACGTTGCCTGTTCTTTACTGCACTCACAAATTGTGTCTAGTGTGAAAGGACCGCCCCCTTTTTTTCAGGTTGATGTTGCTTCTGCCAACTCCAACCTGTAGCATATTGTTGACTTCCAAGTGGCCCAGTTTTCCATGTATGCTTATGGTAATTGATGTATAACATTTAGACCCCACCTTTCTCCTCAAAAAGGCCCAAGATGGCTTACAACGTTAAAGACAGTAGAAAAAGTGGAAGAGGAGCCACAAAAACCGAGCAGTAACCCAACCCTTAGGCAACCTGCCTGAAGAGAAAAGTCATTATCTACCCATGAAAGGACAGCAAAGAAAGGGGTGATCTTAATTTCTGTCAGAGGCAGTTCCCTAGCTTGGAAGCAGTAGCAGAGGCCTGCTCTTGCATCATCAGTGAACGTACCTGTGAGGATAGGAGGACGGAGAGAAAAGCCCCCTCCAACGCCATTATGTGTGTCACTATGGTCAGGTCACACCTCCCCAATAATGGGGACAGCAGGCACATTGGCTTGAACTGTCCAAATGCACTCCTGGCCTCCTCTGAGACCTGAACATCCCAGCTCAGGGACAAATCCAGGAGCACAGTGAAACTGTGAGTGTGTTTCGAGACAGAATGTACCGTCCTCCAGCAACTGGTTGAAAGATACTCCTGTTGCTCGACTTACCAGGAGCCTCTCGGTCTTGTCTGGATCAGGCTTCTGTTTACTCAACTTCACTCAGTCCATTACTGACACCAGACACTGATTTGGAACCAAAACACCTTCCTTGCAATTCGATAGAAAGGATAGCATTGGGTATCCTCTGCAATTGACCCCCAGACTCCAGACCAACTCTCTCACTTATGTTACATAGCGTGGGAGACAAAACCTTAAGGGACACCAGAGGCTGCTTGTCATGTTGAACCACCATGGATGGACTCTTCTGTCGAGTTCCAGGGCAACCTCTGTCTTATAAACCAGACCAGAGGCCAGACTGAAGTGGAGGCAGATAATCAAACTCATTCAGGAGCTCTTGGAATTTAGAAGCTATCAAACCTTCTAATATCTTGCCCCCCCCCAAAAAAAACAGAATAGTGGAGACACTTTTCCATGTTATAACCTTGACCTTCTCTGCTGTTTCTTCCAAGACTCACAGAAATTCTGGAAAAGCTTTAATTTTGGAGGGATCGAATGCTAGCTAAAGAGCGGACGTTCCCTTAATGTAGATGCTTTGACTCTCACTGTTACCTACCTCTCTTCGTATGTCACTGGGTATAATGCCTGCTATGATTTTATTGATGGGGTTGGCTTCCAGAAATGTCCAGCAATGATTCTACAACTTTTGAGTGTTACATCTACCTGTTGTGGGCTAAGCCATACCATATGGGCCTCGTGGCGCAGTGGTTAAAACGCTGTACTGCAGCTAAAACTGTGCTCACGGCCTGGGGTTCAAATCCCAGGTACCGTAGCCGGCTCAAGGTTAACTCAGCCTTCCATCCTTCCGAGGTCGGTAAAATGAGTACCCAGCTTGCTGGGGGGGCAATGTGTAGCCTGTATAATTAAAATTGTAAACCGCCCGGAGAGTGCTTGTAGCGCTATGGGGCGGTATACAAGTCCAATAAATAAATAAATAAATAAATAAATACCAAGCTGGCACATTTGCCTGCTGATGGCATGGGGCCAAGGTGGCAGTTCTTAAGTGTTTGTGGCTGTGTACCCTAGCTGGTTCCCAATAGTTTTTGGAGAGCATTGCCAGTGTACATTTCAAAGTAACACCTAGATATTCAGGAAACCAATAATGATCTGGTTGGATGTCTTTCTGGATAGCCTAAAATGTCTGAGATTATTTCTCAGATAAAACACATGTCCGAGTCTTAAAATTGGATTCAAGTTCGTTTCTATCATAATATGTGCCAGGTTCTTCTAATGCATCTGTTAAGAGATGTCCTACTATCTGAAATCGGTCCGAATGATCAACAAGCGGCAATGAAAAACTGCCAGATAAGGCAACCCATTGTAGTAACAAATCCTTAGGACTATATTCTTTGGGTATTTCTCATTTCCTCATTAGAGTTCACTTGTAGGAAGTAGATATGTCGAAATAACCATTATAGCAGCTCTTCCAATGACTGGCTATATAGATCACTGAGTTGGATATTGGTCTGTGGAGCTACACCTTTGGAGTTCAATGCCATCTTGTACCTCCCAGGAAAAGAGACCCACACCTGTGTGACGTTGGGCAAGCTGCACAGTCCCAGGTTATCCATAGAAGAGGGAACTGATAAACCAGTTTTGAGTCCTTGAGTCCTAGAAACTCTCAAAAAGGATCACCATGAGTTGGAATTGGCATGATGTCACGTAATTGTTATTCCTTATGACTAACCAGAAATAGGGAGGAAGTACTTTATAAAACCTTGCCTTTAGACAGTTAATCAACACAGAGACCAAAAAAACCCCCTCTTGGGATACTTAATTTTTTTAAAAAAAAGTGCATTGTGGGAGAGGAGTCACAAGTCTTTGCAAATGGACATTTAAAAACTGAGCATCTCAATACAGCTAACCAGTGTTAACAAATCCAGACTTGCCATTAAGATATGCTGTGTTAAAGCTATGGAAGAAAAACTGAATGTTTCTTGAAAACTGTTGAGAAGCCATGGAAAGGGGCATCCATCTGTTTGCATCTCCAGTAGAATCATCCAGTCCACATTCATTGCCGGCAACTTGCTGTGTTCCCTTCTTTCCACATCACCTCTTTGATTTGCAGTGGACAGACATGGTGAGCCTTATGATGTAAGCAATATCTACGTATATGTGATCTGTCCGAAGACAGTAGGGGGTGTTTTAGCAACTTTTTTTAAAGTCCTGTTTACCCTGTGGACAGTTGCAGTCATGCTTTGCAACCTGCGTAAGGTGTACCTTACCTGTGTTCAGACTCAACACTGGAAAATACATGTTGGTCCAGTTGTTTCTGCAGTATGGTTGTTAGAAGCAGCACAATATCCACACAGTTAAAACCTACACATTTTTTTTTACTGAGCAAAAAAGCTGATCCCTACCAACACATCAGCCCAAATCAATTCATGTATTTAATATTAGCATAGCACAAATGTTAACTTTTGTAGGGGAACTGCTCAATATAGAAATCACTGTATACATTATCAGTTGCATGCTGAGCTATATGTCTATGGCAATTTCTTAACTTGGGGCAGTTCTCCCCCAAACGTTACACCATTTTATGTATCTATACAAGAGGACTTTCACTATCCTTTGATACAGTCTTCAGTTATGACCTATTAGTCAGTGATGTATGTATGGCGGACCGTCTGGACAATCTATGGCTGCCACTGGCATGGCTGAGCTCCTGCCTAAGCCCACACTCCACTAAGGATCTCACCGTTGGAGCCTCATAGCCCTGCTGTTGCTCATCTGCTTCTCTGAACAAGGCACCAGGCACAGATGCAAAGGAGAGCAGCATCTCATGATGGTGGCCTCTTCTCTTGGTTGATCGCACAGACCAGTCATAGAAGGAAATGGTGGGGCTGGACCCTCATTATGCCCGCCTGTGCGGGGGTATTAGTATACGTACATGAATACCCCCATCTCTAGTTCTGGCCTGATCGACGTACCTGACTACGTAGCAGCTGAAGCCACTGTTCTACACAACAGAAGCCAGCATTTTTGGGGGGTGTATTGGTCCTTCTGAGTGTTCATCAGTACCAGCTAATTTCGAAGCCAGCATTTTTGATGGAAGAGACATCTATGTAATTGTAACAGAGAGGATAAGAGAGTGGTAGCCACTGGACCAGTTTGCCTGCAGGCCTCCAGCTGGGACGAGACCCCCACCCACTGTATCCCAAGTAAACAGAGGATTGTCTGTCTCTGTTGCTTAGCCTTTGCTGCTTCCTCATGTGCATGTCGTCACTTGATGGGGCAGTCACTGGTGTGATCTCCACCACGAGTTGTTTGGACCCTCCTCATGTGCATGTTGTCACTTGATGGTGTGATCTCCACCACGAGTTGTTTGGAAGAATTAGGTCAACACTTCCACATGAAAGTGTGCTTTGTGGCAAGATTCAACAGTTGTGTCTCTTGATGTAGCATGCAACCTTGCCTTAGTTCACCATGGCTTCTGCATCCTGCACTGAATTTCCCTGTTGAATAAGATCCCTTTTCTTCAGCCATGAAATAAAAACACAATCCACATATCAATGACCTTTATATGACCGAGTGGTTTTGGTCCCCATGTGCATGGATTCTGGGGCTCCCCAAGCCACCTCTGTGAACCTGTAAACATTTTGATTAGCAATGACCAACAAGGAGGAAAAAAGGAAACCAGATACCATTCATGTAGTCCCAAGGCTGCAAGGTCAGTTTGTGATTTATTTGTACACAATTTGTACAAAGGTAATATAGATCAGTTAGGAAACTTTGGGAGGTGGTGTGAGCACGAAAGTTACCATATACCTTGAGAGAAGCTCAGAAAAAATAAACCGTAACTCCCATTCAGTATTTGCCCTTCTGCTAAGAGCACAGCAGTTGTGTTGGTTTGTGTTTCAGAGAGAGAAAAGCAGGAGGGCCATTTCACACATTACACTGAGGCAAATCTGAGTTTGCGAGTCAGATTATTCTGAGCAAGAAGCCTACCACGATCCCTGTATAAGGCATGGTGTTTACATTTTTGAGTGTATACATACAATGTGTGAATTGGCCATTTGAGAGGTACTAGAGTTCTAGAAACATGGCAGTGTATTTCATATATTATCTTAAACTAAAATAAGGTGAACCTCACTCTAGGGAAATATTTTTACATGATTCCAGACATAAATCCACTGAAGGAAGCAAGTCCACATTGAAACAGACCCACTAAACAACATTAAGAAGCCATCATTCCATGCTTACCTTGGCAGAAAAAAAAATTTGGCCACTGTATTCTGTCCATTTGTGGTGAAATTGTTTTGCATATGTTCCATACAGAGGCTACAGTAAACCACTGAGCAAAAATAAATCATGGAAAGGATCAAAGGGACTGACAGCTTAAAAAAAAAGAGGGGGAGCAAACTCATCTAATGAGAGCAGAAAATGTAAATATCTCCAAATGAAAACCAGCTTACCCTTAAGATAATGCTGACTAATAAGGACTGGTTCACAAGACATGTTTTTTTTTTTTCCAGAAGTGGGATGCCTAAGATGTTAGAGATCAGGACAATCAGTGGGGATAAATTTGTGTCTTCTATACATATGTGCCGCATACAAATGCCAGTTGGGACTTGAGGCATGGTGACAATTCTAGCCTCTTGTTGCTGAGCGCACACTCAAGTGGCAAACAGGTACTTCCACTGTATAATATGTGAAAATTTCGAAACATGACACAATCAAAGGTGGCCAACTCATCCAGGCTGTCTGAAAGACTGCACCTCCCTTGGTGAGGCTGCTCAAGGATTAAAGTCATCAGGAGAGGCCTTTCTCTTCGTCCCATACACCTTCACAGGTGCACTTGGTGGGGACACAGCAGAGGGCCTTCTCTGTTGCTGCCCCCAGACTCTGGAACTCCCACCCACTGGAGGCCAGCCTGGCCCCATCCTTGCTGTCCTTCCACAAGCAGGCAAAGGCCTTCCCCTTCAGGCAACCTTTCCTTTAAGTGACTGGTTGACCAAGGGGTTTTTCCTAAAAGGGATTATATCATTTTGATGTTTTCCTTCTGATTTTAATATGGCTCTTATTTGTATCCATTTTTTATCCGTTTAATGCTTTTTATTTATTTAAAATATTAATATGCCGCCTTTCTCCTAATGGATCCAAGGAGGCTTATAGTATTTAAGGGGGAAAAAACTGAAAAGCTAAATATTGTAACAGTTTATTATTTAGCTTTTAACTTTATTTTTTCTTAAATACTACAAGCCTCCTCGGATCCATTAGGAGAAAGGTGGCATATAAATATTTTAAATAAAATCAAATAAACAATATACTCCTCCACTGCCCAAAACAATTACTGAAACCCAGGAGTTGCATTAATTTTTTTCTTTCATCAAATGAAACAAGCATGGTTTAAAGTCATTTGTTTCTACGAGCAACACACTGAGGTTGTGTCCCCAGTACAAGGACAATGAACCTTAACCCGAAATGCACCACCTTGCAATTAAAGAAATTTGAGCGGCCAATACTAGAGCTACTTACCCAGCAGTAAAGCCCAGTGAATTCAATGGTGCTTACTTCTGAGTAGAAACTTATATCAGAGGGCAGTTAAAAGACTTAATCAAGGCACATTGCGTTCCACTGATTTTAATCACAGGGCTTTCGATTCCTCAGAGATGTCTATTAATAAATAGCCTGCATGAATTTGCATAGGAATAAAAATTTTGAAGGCAGGAAAAATATTATGGATTTCAACACACCCTCAACCCCTGCCACAATGGCCAACAGCCAGGAATAACTGAAGTATATGTGAAAGTTATGCCCTTTAACTTACCTTGGCTGGACAGCTCACTGAGCTAGAAAATTTGCCTGGGTTCGCAGTTTGGTTCCCCCCTGTGTCTTGCAAGAGAAGAGCTCGTCTATACAGTTCTGGGCAAGCTGCACAGAACATACCCAAAAGATGACAATTGATATACCAATTCTGAGTCTTCTGCACCTTGAAAAGCCTAGGCAGGTTTGCCATAATTTGGAATTAACTTGATGGCATGTAATTATAAATCAAAGGGAAGCACTACCACTTATATAGTGGAAACCTTGTTCAACCATTCCCTAGGACTTTGCATTTTTTTCAACCTGAAAGTTGACATGTATCATCAAAATCTGCCTATTCGCAAGGCCCGAAACATGTGGCTCTGAAGATGCCATCAGCATGCTTGGTGTCACAACAGCACTTAGGGTTTTACTGAACTTTTAGTTCCCGATCTTTAAAATACTGCACTTTTTAGGTAAACTGCCTTGAAAGAACTTTGCCCTAAAAATATTTTATTGGATAAATAAGACTTAAAAGAGCAGATGATGTGGTCTAAAAGAACATTCAAGGCCCTATGAAGAAAACCATTGCAGCTTGAAAGCTGTAGTTCACGAGTCCTTTAGATCCAGAGTTTTAAATAAGTGATTTCCTTAGACTACAACTCCCCGAACCTCTTAGTCCCCATGGCTACTGGGTGGAGAATTCTGGGAACTGTAGTCCAAACGTGTAATTTTTCCAGGCTATGTCTAGTACCAGGAATAAATCTAATGACTTTCCCACAGTTAAAAAGATTTTGACCACTTTGAAAACAAAGGGATCTGTGTGCTTGAACCTGACACAGAACCCATTGCTCTAAGAAGTTCATTTCTGCCCACTTTCACTCATGCTATTAAAACATGTATTCTTAAAGAAATAGTTTGCAACCGTTGAACTCATGATATGTGTGAATATCATGCAGGAGCCAGGATGGGTTTTGTAGCTCCTTTTCAAATATATACAGATATTATACAATGGTAAACCTGTTTGCTGCTACATCATGTGTAGAATGGCATGAGGGAAGCTAAGAAGATTCTCCAAAGGTCCAGCACCCAGAGTATTGAGTGGGAGAATGAAACCTGACACTTCATTAAAAGCAAATTACAGTTAGGTGGCAGGTAGCTCCAGTTTTACCTTCGGATCTGTCTGGACAGAGCTGCCCCCCCCGCCTGCCCCCGGCATCATCCTCGAATATTATGAAGACAAATAGTGGGAACCCTTTTGGAGTTCATATGGCTTTCAGAGATACCAGGTTACAGCATCTAAGATTCAGTGCTCACTTAGGTCTGTGTAGGGATTTCACATTTGAACAAACATCTGTGGGTTTTGCATATACATCTAATTCACTCTCACTCATTCACAGTTTTTCAGTCCGCGAGGTCCTTGTCCTCCTGCCAACCGGCACGCGCCTGTGGTATCAAAAGGAAAGGAAGAAGAAAATTCCCAGTGCAATCTTTTGGGTGGCATCCGCGTTCGGTCTGCCACACCGTGAATCTGTGAATCCATGCAGTGGTGTGAAGTCAAGATTCTTTGCCAGCCGTGAGTGGACCGACAACTCAGAAAACACACCCACTCTCGCACACACATGCACACACACCGCAAGTGAGTCACGTTTTTTTTTCAAAAGACAGAAAGGCGGAGGTGGTGGAAGAATGAGGTAATTCATGTCCCAATGGGGTGTGTTATGTGGCATAACTGCCGGTTCTTCTAACATCCATTAGGAGAGAGGGAAGTGGAACTTGGCAAGGTGACTGACAGCTACATAAAGAAGAAGCTACAGGAAAAAAAGAGAGAGAGAGAAAGAAAGAAGATAGGTTCAGAATCCAAAGAGGGGGAAGCAAAAAAGAAAAAGGAAAAGAAAAGAAACAGCAACAATCTCTTTAGAAGTAAATTGTGAAGGAGAACTTAAAAAGGAAGCAGGGTTGGTATAATCAGGGCTGACTGGCATCCTCTGTACCCACTGGAAATCCAAAAGAAACAAAGTCCATTCCTCCCTCCGCTGATATTCTATTCTATTGCTGCATATAGGTAATAATTAATTCCATGCTGTCATGTCTATTACAACTGATTACAGCCCTTCCCAGCATTTTCTATATACAGTGGTGCCCCGCATGACGATGATAATCCGTCCCGGGAAAATCACTGTTTAGCGAAATCGTCGTCATGCAAAAACCCTTTCCCCATTGGAATGCACTGAAACCCGGTTTAATGCGTTCCAATGGGGAAAATACCTTGTCGTCCAGCGAAGATTGCCCATAGGGAAGCCATTTTGCGAGCACCGATCAGCTGTAAAAATAGCTGCCCTGCGAAGTATGAGTCTGGAAAAGACAGGGCAGCCATTTTGCAGAGCTGGAAAAATCGTCGTCTTACGAACAAACGGTTCGCGAAGCACGGACCAAATCGTCATTAAGTGAAAATCGCTATGACTGTTTTGCGAATCGCTATAGCCATCACAAAAAGTCATCGCCATGCGGTTTCGTCGTTTAGTGGGGTCGTTGTTTAGCAAGATACCAATGTATATAGAAGTGATAAACCAGAAGTGGTTTGTCATTCCCTTCCTCGGGGGCTGCCCTGAGAGACTACACAGCTTGACAAAGGTTATATCAAGCTGGCTTTTCTACAAGGCAAAGATGGGAATCAAACTCCCAGCATCAAGTCCCTTGTCCTGGGCTATCAAGCCAGCTGCGTCTTCTCGCCAATATTTTATTTGGTTTCACGTAAAGAGAGGGACAAACAGTTATTGTCAACACCAGCATCCCCTCCCTGCTCTGGTCATAGTTAGGTGCTAATCTGGGGTGCCAATTTTCACTACGCACCTTATGTGATCAAACATACTTTTGCTATGAAATCTGGAGTTCCCAGAATGTGAACATTCCTGCAGACAACCCACTTTTCCGCGGCTGCCCTGAGTGCAGAAGTGCCAAATACAGCCCAGAATATAAAGAGTCAGAAACATGCAGCTAGGAAGCACAAAGATGTCTGGATCTCGCCAGGATGCTGTGAACTGAACCAGATAAGACATCATGAACATTTCAAATGGCTCTGAAGGTGTCACGGAGCTGATGATCACCACCTCAAATTAAAAAATAAAATAAAAAGTATGGGGTATATTCAAAGAAGCAATGGAAAAACAAAATGGCTAAAGCACACACTTCAACTGATTCTGCCCTTAATTCCTCCCCACTCACAGGAACAGCTCGTGACAAACCAAAATAAATAAATGTATTTTTTTTTCCAAAAATGAAGACCACACATGAGGAAAAAAAAGTTTGAGGTTTTTTTTATATATATATAAAAATGTATTTTCTCCTTCCCACTTCATGTGTTCAGAGTTTTGGGAAATGAACATTCAAGAACATATGCAAAAAAGAGGAAAAATGTCCATCAAATGCTTATAAGATTCCCCATTATCGGTTGTACTTTGAAAAACTAAACTCTTTTCGACATTGCAAAATGTTAACAAATGTCTAGTGGACGGATACATGACATATATAATGCAATTTTTAACACTGTAAATTGGTTACAAAGTCATTCCAGTAAAAACAACGATATTTTCAAAATAGGAAGTTATTAAAACAAGCTACACTTAATAAGTTTTAAGGCAACCAGAAAACCTTTAAAGAAAAGCCACAAAACCCCACAAAACCAATGTATACAAACAACATATTCCTATGGATGTTCACAGTTTTATTTTTAATTAATTATGGGAAGCGGGGTTACACAAAACAGAACCCTTCATATATGTTTCAAGACTACACTGCCAGACTCCAGTGAGACAAATATAGACACTAACGTAAATGTAGCTCTATTTTTTTTACCTCTCCTTTTGATGCAAAGACATGGCAAAAGATAAAAACAGTTTGATTTCAACGAATGGCAATCCATGAAGATGGAACTGAGATGGACAGCTATAGCAACTGCTCACAATAGATATGCTTGTTTGTCACATCAAAAACAAACGCCCGATTTCATCTACAACCCACTTAAGCCTTTGATTTATGGTTTTGGACCCACTGAAGAAACTCAAGAGCTTACATGTGGATTTCCCTACTCACGTCAACCGAAGGAAGATCTCTACTGTGTTGGGCCCTTCTCTATCAAAGCAAATAACGCCCTTTGAAGACAGGCTCTCTAGGGGCATGCGGGACCTCCTTCCAAGCATAACAGAAGATTGCAAGCATGAGGCAACCGAGATTAAATGGCTTCCACATAATAATTTGGGTTTATTTATGCACATAGCTGCCTCTTAAATAGGACTCCCTTTAAAACAAATATGATGTCAGTGTCTGTTTGATAGTCTAAGCAAGCAAGTATCCTAATCAGTCAGAAGGTGGCGCTGAGGCTTTAACTGTGGCCAAGAGTGTTTCAGACAGCGCATATTAAGATTAAAACCTTGGCACATACTAAGAGTGTTTCAGACAGCGCTAGTGCATATTAAGATTAAAACCTTGGCACATACATGCATCTGAAGCAACGGTATACAATGGTCACCAAACATTAACGATCCTTGACAATGTATTTATTGGCCTGTGAACCACATTGCTTCTGATAATGCCAAACTAAATAACCTTCATGTACCTTGGTCTTAAGCAGTGCATGTGACCCAAAACATGTACATGTCTAGCTCAGTGGTTTAGGGATCTGACTGTGGAGCCAGAGGTTGGGAGTTTGATTCCCCCCACACACACTTGCCTCCTTCACATGGGCTGGCCTTGATGATCCATTGGGTCCCTTCCAGAACTGCAGTCCTAAGATTATGAAGAACTGCTCAGTCTAGGCGCTGATAAACCAATCCTCAACGATTATTGACAACATGATTATGTACCACAATATATTTTGTAGAATTCCAGCATCAATGTTGTGCTGGTACCTTCTCATTCCTTCCCAACCTATACTGGGCCCTAGTTTCCCTACCCATGGCTTGACTTGAAAAACAACAACTACAGAAGGCCTATCTTCTCTTACTGGATTTACAAAATTCCTTCTGGTTCTTGAGGACAACAGCAGACACAACATTTCAAAAACATAGCAGAAGCGGTCTGAACACAAATTCACTACCCTAAAAAAAAAAAATTCTTGCAAATACAACAAACGGATCCGCACAAGCCAATTCGGCTACAGTTAAAATGTTGTGCATCAATGCCTGTGAACTTGGATAGCGTCCTGGATTGATTCATGCTGGAAATGTCCACTCTACAATCTGGCATCCAGAGACGGAGATCATTTGTAATTATCTTTTTCAAGAGGATTTAGAAGACAGTGGCACACTGGCAGAGCTTCAAGCGAATGAAGCTCATGCTCAGTGCCTGCTTGTACTTAACGCAGGAAGCAGGAGGCCAGCTTTAAATGGCTTATTTTGTATGTGTGAGAGAGATGAAAATATAAATTTCCACTCTTAAGTCAGAGATTTATGGCCCCAAGAAAGGACAAGGTACTAGAAACAACAAACTCTTCTAATGGATGAGGCCACTGCGTGGGACTATGGATATGAAAATATCCAAAGAAGCAAGCAAGGTAAAGTTGCAGTGGGTGCGACATATTTTAAGGTTTTTTCCCCCTTGCCTTTGAGCATTCAGAATATGCTTTCTGAAGGTTCACATTGCTGGGAGTACTATTTGTCTACTCTGATCTTGTTCCCCATGGTCTTCAGCCAAAGCCAGTAGACCACTTCAGAGGCCATCTTAAATCCTCTTTTCTCACAAAACACCAGTCACATCTTCCAGGTATGGAACCAAGGCTGGCATTAGTATGAAGTAACCATGAAACAGTCTCCTTAAACACCAGATTTTGGGTTCCGGAGACAAGTCATCGTCCTTCCTCCAACCTTTGATAATTTTCACTGAACAACAATAACGAAAGAACTTGTGTATCCACTTCATAGCAAAAAGGGTGCCTTGTTCCTTGAAGTGTAAAAAGATCTAAACATGGGGTGTTCACAAATCCTAGTACCTGGGATGGTCTTTGATGTCTTATTTCCATGAGTTTAGATCAAAGGGTAAATGTTTGAAACTTATTTTCCTCCTCTTTCTATATCAAACATTTCTGCCTAATGAAGTGAAGCCTTCTTAACTCTTTGGACTTTTCTTTCGAAACATACTAGAATTGGCCAAATTCAAAAAACGGGGCTGACACAAAATGACTCTACTCATTCGTTTCAGAGATAGGTCTGGGGCCAGGAGATAACTCAAAAAGCAGTTTTTACCAAACCCCCTCCCCCCAAAAAAACCCTTTCCAATATTTAAGTCTCAAGTCAAATAATAAAAAACATATATATAAAGTAGGAAAATAACAGATAAGCATGCATATTAAAAATGGGACTCATGCCTTCATATTTAAGTTTTTAAAATGTGTTTTTAAAAAGAAATTTAAAATCTCTCCACAGCAAGCCTAGATGTTCACATCTGATAAATCAATGTTGAAATTAGCTGCTACTGTGACCGTACGTTCAAAACTGGAGCACCACAAAACTCCTCTGCTTCAAAGCAGGCAGGACCGGGATTGAGGAGGCTCGACTCCCTGAAGGACCCAACAGAAAATGTGTGCCTCTAAAAGAATTGGGAGGAGCAACCCATGTTTGGATACTGGAAGTGAACCCTGCAATCAACCTCTGAAGGCTTAGCATCCTTAAGAGACCGCTAGGGAAGACCGCCAAGGGCCATTTCCAGGCACACGTATGAAAAAATTAAATTGACAGGCCCTAAATGCAAGGAAGCGGCCTTGATCCAGAGAAAAGCTAGGTGTGATCAAGAGACAGACTTCTTTGTGGCTTACATGCCCCTTGGGTTTCAAAGGAAGTCAACTTTTGATTAGCTGTTGCCGGATCTCAGTCATTGCCTCCAAGGTCCAGTTGGGAACCTCTTTAGATTGCACTGGGCAGTTCTTGGGCCGTGATGTCAGAATACCTCTCCAGTTGTATGTATCCTAAGCCACCCATTCCCAAAACAGAAACACCCCACCCCACAGTTCATTCCAAAGGTGGGCAGAGCTCTTGCAGCTATACTTACATGCAAAGGGGAAAGTACATCCCAAAAGCTTTGAGGGGGGGAGACATTACTCCGTGCAGAGCCAGGGGTTACTGTGAAGAAAGGCATAGATACAAAAAGGAAAAGCAAGTGCAGTATTAAGCAAACCAAACATGGTCTAGAGGGAGTGGCTAAAGCAGGAAGAGACCTGGGCTCTTTGGCTGCGCGTTAATGGCTCTCATCCAGCTAAGAGGATCCAAGCATTCACATTTTGGTGAGATGTATTTTTTTTTTAAAAGAATTGACAATGCATGGATGGGTCAGCCACCAAATTAACTTAATTCACGGATTGTTGTTTTTGGGAACTGGGAGCATGGCAATAAGGGAGAAAGAGATTTCCAAAGAACAAATGATACCACTCTAGATTAATAGGTCAGGAAGAAAAAATTAATACAGAAGGTGGAGCACATTTAACAAACTCAAGATGTGTTGTAACATCTTGAGTGGCCTTCTCCAACCTGCTGTTTTCCTGAGGTTTTAGACTACAATTTCCATCATCCCCAGCCAGTGGCACTTCCCATCTAGGGGACAGGGCATAGCTCGGAATCTCTCGGAAGAATTCTCTTGGAGGAAAGCAGAAGAAACACGTTTAACGAGTTCAGTTGGAACAACAATTAAAAATAGGACACACACAGACATGGCTGGTGGAGGCAACACTATACAAAGCATTCAAGCTTCGGAAAACTTGAACATACATTTGCACAATAAGCCGCTGCAGTGCATGGTTAAGGAAACTGGCTCCTTTTGTTCAAGCCCAAGACCGTTAAGGGATCTGCTGGGTGGATCACAATTTTTTTTAATTTGAGTCTGCTTTATAGTGGTCCCTTCTGTCACCTCCCAATGCTCACATAGCACAGCACACAGCCAATTCTATATTTTACTGCTTTTGCTCCATTTGTGGACGTTTCAGCCATCTTCTTGTCTCCCTAAGAACCATGTTTAGGTAGTGGCTGGTTTTGCTCAAACAAAAGCTTAGCCTTTGGGTTAAATGAAGAGCAAGAGGGAAAAAGAAGAAAAGAAAAAGAAAATCCACCTTAGTGGTTTGGCACGGGCAAGCAAAGCCGCAATGTGAAAGGTGGGCAGTAAACCAGGTGACCAGTGTTAATTTTGAAGAGTGCTCTGAAGAGTTAAGAAACAGGAGACTACCTAAGCCAGGAGCAGAGGGAAAGTTGGCAGCACATCAGCAGCAGGGGAAGCGATCCTGGACTCAGAGAGCAAACAAGGGGCGCCACCTCTTGGCATGTACCAGAAAGGAAAAGATTCTGTCCAGCACGGAAAAATACAAACAATTAGTCAGTTTCACAGTACTTTAAAAAAAAAGAAGAAGAATGAAGGAGGAAAAGGAGGTTGTAACAGTTGAGACTTTTCTGGCACATTTGCTTCAGCTTTTTAAAAAATGGCTGGAATCCTATTGCACATTTTTACCAGTGTAGCTTCAGTTAGCACAACTTTCAGCTGCCAATTGGTGCAAGTCAGTAAGTCAAAGGAGGCTTTCCCTCTTGCACACTCAGTCGCACAGCTTGTGTGCAACTAGGAGTTCCTAGATTGGCATCATACAGCAATTCATTGCTGAAGGTTACGCTGCTAGTGTTATGACAGGAAATGTACCTAACAGGATTCTGGCCACTGAAAATAAAAGTAGACTTCATGAGACTGTTGTCTTCTCATACAACCTACAGGTCAAAGTAGGTTTTTAAACTAAGTCAACTTCCCTCAAAAATTCTGGGAGATATAGTTTTAACAGAGGTGATAAGAATTCTGTAGGAGACCCTTAGCTACTTGCTAAACTACAGCTTCCACAATTCCCTGGCCACGAAGGAAATCATGATGGCTACTCACCATCTCATGAAGGTACTCTGTTAATAAGATAACAATGGAAATGAAACTCACTGGAGTTGCTAGTTACCTGCTTCTGATCCTACTGTATATGCTTGGCTTTCGCCTACCTAAATGGTATCGGAAAGAGGGTGTACATTAACGGTCATTTTCACTATTCACCTGGAAAATCAGATGTTACCGCAACCCACAAAGCTTCTCTCCTGAGAAAATCAGGATCCCTAACTAGTTCACTTTTCTATACTTCTGAGCATTTCCAAAGCAACATGTTCCACTACACTCACTGTTTTGTTGGGTCTTTTTGTTTTTCAGGTCTTGAAGGCCATTTCCAGTATTAAACTCATTTTTGCCATACCTAATCCTGGCTCTTCAACTATATACAGTGGTGCCTCGCATAGCGAGGTTAATCCGGAACGGATTAACCTTCGCTATAGCGAAACATCGCTGAACGGGACAAAGAAAGCCATTGGAACGCATTAAACATCGTTTAATGCGTTCCAAAAGGCTCCTTTACTCACCGTTCAGCGAGGTTTCCTATAGCCGGCAGCCATTTTCGCGCCCTCGTTAAGCGAGGGGAGGGCGTGAAAACGCTGCGCGCGGCCATTATGGAGCTTCCGGCGGCCATTTTGTCCACCGAACAGCTGATCGTCGGGCTTCGTTTTGCGAAGATCGGTAAGCGAAACGCTTACCGATCTTCGTAAAGCGATTTTCGCCCTATCTAAACGACGTTGAGCGATCGCATTAGCGATCCAAAAAAAGGATCGCTATGCGATTTCATCGTTATACGGTGCGCTCGTTAAGCGAGGCACCACTGGATATATATCCCATTCATCAGCCACATATTTTACATGTATAGGTGCACACGTAGAGAGAAATTTTAAGGGCACACTTAGAACTGTATGGGCCTTAGGTTGCAGGCACCTGTGATCTTAACCTAGCAACGATCCACTAGGTCAACCTATCCCAGTTCCTAGGTACAGTATGTGAATTGAGCAGCAGTTTGCAACTCTGGGCCTAATCAGAACTTCAGAGTTTGATCAGATAGCTCCAAAGGTGCACGCCTGATCACACCAGAAAGCATCGCTTTAACAGGAGCAAGCTCCCTGAAAGTGATCCTTCATCCTGGCCCTACAAAATGGAAGCCCTACAGCAGGAGGTATAGATCAGAGTTTGGCTGGAGCACATTTGTCTGTTCTTCCTGTGATCGCTAGGAAATAACTATCCACATGTTGAACTATTTCTCCATGTGATAACACCCTTAGTGACCCAATGATCACTGATACATGGAGCTCCATGACTGGCATTTAGCCATAAGCAAACAAGCAAGGTTGGAATCTCTAGATTGGTTTTTAATGTTATAGGCAGATGATGATTGCTCCTCACTATGGTTATCCCCAAACCAAATTAAAACAGTGGGACCTCCAGCTAGGTCAACCTACCCCAGTTCCTAGGTATAGTATGTGAATTGAGCAGCAGCAGTTTGCAACTCTGGGCCTAATCAGAACTTCAGGGTTTGATTAAATAGCTCCAAAGGTGCATGCCTGATCACACCAGAAAGCATCGCTTTAACAGGAGCAAGCTCCCTGAAAGTGATCCTTCATCCTGGCCCTACAAAATGGAAGCCCTACAGCAGGAGGTATAGATCAGAGTTTGGCTGGAGCACATTTGTCTGTTCTTCCTGTGATCGCTAGGAAATAACTATCCACATGTTGAACTATTTCTCCATGTGATAACACCCTTAGTGACCCAATGATCACTGATACATGGAGCTCCATGACTGGCATTTAGCCATAAGCAAACAAGCAAGGTTGGAATCTCTAGATTGGTTTTTAATGTTATAGGCAGATGATGATTGCTCCTCACTATGGTTATCCCCAAACCAAATTAAAACAGTGGGACCTCCATATTTTCAGGAGATCAGTTCCAAGGCCCCCAATGTTGAAAAAAGCAGATAATAGCAAACTCTTATTTTAATAGTGAAGTCTATAGGGGTGTTTTTTTCTTTTAATATTTTAAGTATTTTCTTACAGCAGATGAGTGAAGCAGTGGATACTGATCCTGTGGATAAGGGGGTCCTACTGTGATTTAAAAATAGCAGAGTTCATGCAGGAGAACTGAAAATGTGGCTGCTTCCAATCGTGATTGTCCCTTTCAAATGTTACAGTGCATTTATAGCAGCCTTTCCCAACCTGGCACCTTTCCAAGTATCTTTGGACTTCAACACCTATGATCCATCATTGCATTACATTGGACCTGTGTAGTAATAAACACCTGGAAGTCAAGAAGTAAGAGAAGGCTGACCTACAGGCAACTGACAAGTTCAATCTTCACACCAGGTTGCTGTTTCTGCAGGAATTTACTAAGATTAAGATCTGGTTGTAACACAGATCTGTTATTAAGACAACAATAACAGTCATTGTAATTCAAAAGGAAGCGCCCCGGGGCAATGGCCTGTATCTCTCAATTTCAGCATATAGGAGGCGCTAATTCCTTCAGTAATTTAACCGAATATTCTTTAACATTCTTGAGATGTTTTAGGTTTTTTCCCCCCTGTCGTTCTGTGTCTACTGTATGCCAGGACACATGGAATGGAACATGCCCATCCATCAACATTTGAACCTCCAGCTTTAGACAGGTACTGAGTTTTTGTTAGTTATAGCCTCTTTCAAGCAATGTTGAGTTTAAAAAAAAAAGAACTCAAGCCTGCTTGATGGACAGTTGAAAGGAACAGAGCAAAGCAGAAGCACCTGAGAAAGCTATCAAGCTTATGCAAAACCATACCAGGTCAGTGAGTGGCATGCACGG